TGTACATGTAACTCAATCACTCCATTTTTTACAGACGTAACTTCCACCTTTATTCTCTTAGATAAAACCCAACATATTTTCAAACACAACAACAAGAGTGAAGCTGTGAAGATTTATGAACAGATGAACATTTATGAATATATATGAACATTTGCACATAATACAGTGCATTACAGTACCAGTTGTAATGTACTGGGGGAGGAAGGTTTAGAACAAAACCCTTCCCCCACTCCCATTTAATTCTGACAAGACTGAAACATGTAATGCAAAGGTAGCACAAATTCAAGGTACTGGTTTATTTCAGTAAATCACCACAAGTTTTAATCTTATATTGATATTTCTACGTTCTATCAGAAAAAGAGGCAGCACAATAATAATTTTAATCAGTATGTGTGTGTTTGGACAACTAACATTTTAAAACTATAATGCAAGGCTGCCTTGATTATATCCACAGGTTTTAAAAAGAAGAGAAAATGGCACCAAAAATATTATGGTTTATACTTTCACTACTGATGCTTTGGATTCTGAAATTTTAATCACCAGTGACACACAAAACAGTAATGACATAAAATGGCATTTATTGTGTGTGGTGATGTTCCAAATGTATCACTGCAAGAAAAACAAAGCATTTAGTTATTTAGTTGTCAGATTATTCTCCTGAGTAGTAACTTCCACCAGCAGCACTTACAGTCTGAGGCTGCAGTACCAAGTGGTGCCCATGAGGCAGCTGGTACCTCTCAGGCAAAAACATTTCATCAGATGATCTAGAGGTGCTGATACTTCATTATCCTGATCATCTTTCCATGCTGCATATTAAATACCCAGATGATAGCAAGGGAAAGTAAACACTAACTGGGAAGCCCAATAGCTGGTAAAAAGCAGGGAAAGCTCTTGAATTCTACTCCAAGCTTTATTCACCAAACTCAGTAACTACATGAACATCATTCAGAAAGTGTCTGTTCACAAGGAACAAATTATTTGGTGGACTTCCATGTGGATTTTCTGTTCGTTTCCTAAATCTGATTTCCAAAATACCTTCTCAGTCAATGAATTAGTCAGTTTCTCTAGTTGTCACAGTCATTCCTTTATGTTTTCTAATGGAGCACACGAGAAGGAAAGCAGGAAAAACTGATAAATTATGCAAGCTGTAACCACTTGTAGACTCTTTTGATACATGGGAATGAAAAAAACAAGGATGTCATCAGCATTGAAAAGCACAGCATCCCTTTACTAAAGAGAATTGCAAAATATCTTAATCAGATTCCCACTCTTCTAACGAGGAAGTCAGAATGATATCCATCAAGAGACACATTTGATTTGTTCAGTGCAGAAGATTAAAAAGGATTCATTAGTGTAGGGATGAAAAGACTCACATTAGTGAGCTGAGAGAGAACTCACACCACCTTGCTCAATTTAATGGCAGCAAGTATATATATATATATTTATTTATTTATTCTGACAGGTGTACTTTAGGTAGTTCATGCTGGAACATGTTGAAAAAGCATCTGCACAGCATTTATTTAATCAGTAGCACAAACACTTCAAAAACCTCACAGCAGAACACACTTCTCATATTTTGACCAATACTCACTAAGTTCTCATACATCTTGATTTTCAAGATAAATCTTTGTAAAGTTCACTTATACTATCAGTAAACACACATAGGCATCTTTCTCACCAACTGTGTTGATAAGAATACTTTGTTATTTTCTATTTGAGGTAGATTTTCACAAAATAAGTTTCAAGTCAATTTTTCCTGTAAGAAACACTGAGAGCCACAGAAATGTTTTCCCTCCTGATAGCATCATTTTCTTATTTCCATATTTATCTTACTCATACTGTTCACCCTCCCTTGCCAGGGTTACTGGGTAAAAATACACACCTATTAATCCAGCAATTTTTTACAGAATATGCTCAAATTTTGCTACCAGGGTACAGCAATGAAGTGTTTTACTCAGTGCCTTCTGTTTATTGGATACAACAGAACACTGAATTGAATCTTTTCATCTTTTAAATGAAGAAACAAAGTCATTGAGGATTAGGAAAAGGAAGGAAGGAAAAGGAACAGGAACCAGTTTACACTGAACCCCAGATGCAGAACAGGGATTCTCACTGCCCCCACCATTAGGAATTACTGGTCACACTACTACAGGAACAGCTGGGAAAGCATTAGGCAGCAGTAGGGATGCAAGAATGAACTTACAAGTACCTGCCTAGCCCAGGCAAAATCTCTATGCAAAAAGAAATCCCAACACTGGTTTATTAGAAACTGCTTTCATACATTTATTCCAAAGGAAAACGACCTTAGTCCCAAACTTATGAGCAAGAGAAAATAACAAGGCCCTGATTACTTGGACTTCAGAGATGCAGCTGAAGTTATGCAATGCCCAAAAGAAACCTTCCATAAGAGACTAATAAAGATGAACCTTTGTATCCACTTTGTATCCATGAAAACATAGTAGTACTTACAAAACCTAATGAAAAAATCCTAGCAATTCTTCTTTGCAAACAGTAATGTGAACTCCTGTTAGTACACAAAATATGGATAAAAACACAAATTGAAGACTCATAATCAACTTAATACCCGTCCTTCCACTCCACCACACAGACTGGTAGTGTCAGAGACACCTCCTACCACTTATCTACCAAGGCATCACTAACTTGTAGACAAGAACCAAAATCCTTTTCCCATCCACTGCTTTGGATGATTAGTCATTCCCTAAACCAGCCTAAAGCAAACATCATTACATTTCTTCTCGTTCTTTCACACTGGAATGCCAAGACAAATCTGGCTGCGTGCTCATCTTTAGCAGATGCTGGTTCAGAGCTCAGCTGAAATCTCTGAAGCAGCACAGACAGTGAGCTGCACAAGTGATACCACCCAGCCCACCAGGAAGGGACAAAACCATGAACTGTGATCCTTTATCCATCCCTGGAGGGCACAGCTGAAACTCCAAATGATCTGCTTTGCCTCCAACTGCTCCTAGGGGCATAATAGGAATATTTAGGAGCAGGCTGTTGAGAACTCAGAGACTTGGAGAATTCTGTTTACCCATAACTCAGTGTTCTCTGCAATGGGACTATTAATGAATCTCAGAAGGACTCAATGGGAATGCTGCAGTGTAACATTTGTTAAAACTCCCTGTCACTAAAAAAAAAGAGGATATACTGAAAAACACTGGAAAAGTTGAAGACAGACCTTTGTTACAACATATATATAGATATAACCAGATGGACTTAACACAAATAGTTCATCCGTTTTCTTTCTCAATTTGATTTCATTCATATTCTGTTCCGTTTCATTTACCTTAAAAATACAAAGAGACACAACAAAGAACTTGACAATACTTGCTGAGAAAAAACAACTCCTCCGGCTAGCATTATCAGTGTACAAAGTTTATAGATTTCACACTGTTTGTTTAAGATACCCATATCCATAATCACATATATTCATCTTTCTTTCCCCATACTTCCCCCCCTACAGATAAAAGTGCATTCAAAAGCCTCCTCCAATGAGTCAGTTAAAAATACACATCTGAATCATAAGTATATTCTGAATACAACTCTAAAGCCAAGGGGGATACTATTAATACATATAACTAAAGACACAGCCTTGGCTAGCTGCTTTTATTAATATCTTGTCTATTCCACTTAACTACAGCTACTGCCACAATGTTTCTCTTGCCACTATTCATTATCTGTTTCTTTGGATCTAAAACGAAACGTTTAAGTATATCAGCTACTCTGTCTTCTGATGCTGGTTTTATATTTTTGAAGATTTCTGTTAAAAGCTAATATTTAAGTATATTAGCTACTACACTCCATCTCTTTTTTAAAGTTTTTGGAGATTTCACTTTCCTGTAAAAAAACAAAATGTAGTCTTTTAAACCTTAGTATTTTATGAAAGTAAACAAGGTAAAGTTACTCTTTTCCTACATATATCCTGTGTTTACATGCACAACTGCTTGCACAAAAAATTGTTTCTAATATTCAGTGCTGTTATTTGCTTCCCAGATCTACTCAAGAATACCATGTAAGGATCAGCACCTCATTTTGCAAAGCTCCACAAAAACGAAGCCCTTGCCCGACAAAGCTTCCCGTAAGAACACACGACAGAACAGGTAACCGTAACCAACACTGACGTCGGACGAAAACTTCGGGAAGGGTTTGAGTAATTTATCAGAACTGCAAAACTGTCAGAAAAGTTGGCAAAATGTATACCTGCTCACGAAACAAAGTTTCTGCTGATACTACTCTACCAGTAGCTGTTTCCAAACATTTCACGCCGTCACTCGAACTCCTTCCTCTGCACAGTATCGCTCCAACTTGACACGTGTCATTCGCCTATCGCTGCAGGACAGAGGCTTCGCCTTCCTCTTTCACTCGGGCTCTTATCTCTAGCCTATGGCCAAAAGCAAGCCTTTCCCCTTCTCCCTAGCGCAGGGGAGAAATGAGGGGCCCAGAACAGAGGAAACAAGCCGCTGTTCAACCCGTTCCCTCCGGCAGACACCGCGGCCACTGCCGCCCGCTCTGCCCCGCTCCAGGAGCGCGGAGCCGCCCCTCGGCCAAGACCCGCCTGGTTGCCGGGGCCGGCTCCCTGCTCTGCCCCTCGGCGCGGGGCCCTCAGCCGCAGCCCCGCTGGCCGGCGCTGCCTCCAGCCCCGTGACACCGGAGCGGCCCGGCCCGGCCCCGCCGCGCAGGCCGGGCTCCTGCATGCCGCGGCACGGACGGACAGGTGCAGCCCCCGGGCCGCCCGCGACCCTGCGCAGCCCGGGCTCAGCCCCAGCCTCCTCCCCCTTCCCTGGCCAGCCCCTTTACCCGCGCACCACCATCACCCTCCGGCCCCGCACAAAGACAGGCCCGCGCCCGCCGGGCCGCGCAGGGAGGGAGCGGAGCCGAGCCAGGCCGGGCCGGGCCTTCTCCACTCCCTCCTCGGGCGGCGCCGGTGTCCCGGGCCGACTGCCCGCCGCGGCGGCCGCCGCCTCCATGTCCTGCCTCACCTCTTTGGGGACGAGCTGGTTCTCCTCGCTGGGCACCATGGCCGGTGGCGCGGCGCGGAGCCCGCAGCAGGCTGAACCGAGCGCCGTCGTCAGCAGCAGCGGGAGGCGGGGGGACGCCCGTGGCTCATCCTCCCCCTTCTTCTCCTCCTCCTGCTCCTCTTCTTCTTCCTCTTCTTCCTCCTCCTCCTCCTCTTCTTCTTCTTCCACCTCCTCCTCCTCTTCCTCCGCTTCCAGCTCCTCCGCTCCCGCGGGCAGCGCCGCGGCCCCGCCCCGCCGCCAATCCATGGCAAAATGGCCGCCGGCGCGGTTCTCGCGAGAGCCGCCCCACCCCGGGCTCGCTGCGTTCCGCCGCGCTCATCGCTCTCGGCGCGGCCGCGGCCGGTGCTGGCCCGGCCGAGCCCCGTGGTGCTCGCTGAGCACGAGGGGCGGTGTCGGAGCCGCAGCGCGGAACCTCCGTGGGCGGCCGGGTCAGAGCTGCCCCGCGACGGGTTATCAATGGCGCTGGGCCGCCGCGGCTGCCCCGTTGCGTTATCCTGCCCTGGCGAGCGGCATGGGGCGCCCGGGCCTGCGGGGGAGCAGGGAGTCAATAAATGGAATGGGCGCCGTCTGCGGACCTGTCCGGGGAGAGACTGCACGTGCCGCGGTGGTGTTCGCTCATGGGGCGGGCTGCATGACTCAGAGCTGTTTTCTAAGCTAATCGAGTCCGTGCAAATGGAGCTGTAGGAGGGGAGCGGGGAGGCAGCGCGCCGGGGCCACTGCCCCAGGTGCGGCTCGGGGCTCGTTGGCACACGGCCGAGGGCGCGCTCGGAGCCGGGCCGGCCGGGGTGCTCGGGGAGCGGGGCTCGGAGCCGGGCCGGCTGTGGGTGCACTCAGAGCCGGTCTCGGAGCTCGTCAGCAGCCGGACGTGGGTGCGCCCGGAGCGGGGCTCGGAGCGCCAGGCCCCGCCACACGAGCTCCGTCCCCTCGCAGCGCTCGCCCCGCGGCCCTTCCGATCCCCGCGCTGCAGGGACACGGGACGCTATTTCAGCGTGATTCCCTCGCTCCTTCACAGTGTTGGTGCCCGGCTGGAGTGGACGCGTAAGCACAGCCTGGTCCCGCTGGCATGTGAGCCCTTCCTGGTGCCCAGAAGTTGTTCCTTGAAGTCATGCGATGCAGTTCAGCGTGCGCTCGCTGTAAATCCAGGGTTAATAGCTCGTTTTCAAACGCAGTGCAAGGCTGTTTCCGTGGCGTTGCTTGACTGTTGGTTTTTGTCCACAACAAGCTGAACTATATCTGCTTTTTGTGCCACCTGAAACACACTAAAAGCCAAATCACTAGAATGACTAAAACACACGCTTAGAAGGAAAGTAGTTGATGTCTACTTCACTGCAAAATAGTTTGTAAGTGAAAAGCATTCTGCTTGGCTAATGAACAACGCTATATGGTAGTTGTACATTTCTGCACAACTCTTTTTCTTATTATTTTAGTGTCCTCTTGTGGAAAAATGCAGTACTGAGGATAGTTTTTGGGTTTGTGTCCATGAAGGTTTGGGATAATTTTTGAAACTCATTGTCCGGGAGGCTGCTGAAGATTTGATAAAGTTGAATGATCTCATCTCCCTTTTCACGTTCCAAGTATGTAACTTAGGTTCCTCTCTGCTTTCTCAGAGATAAGTGGCAGCTTTTACAATCAGGATATGTTACTAGTGTTTCTATTTGTATAGTATATTAATGCTTTAAAAAAAAAAGGTTTCAAAACAGTAATTTCTCTAAATAATATCAGTGGTTTTATTTTCGTCTTTCAAGTATGCTGTGCAAATGCTGTTTCTGGCTTTGTTGTGGTTTGTTTTTGTTTTTTCTTAAATTTTTCCTCCTTGAATTAAGCACAGAGATCCTCTCATTGAAAAACTTAAAGCAGTTTTTAAGTATATTTCTAACTTGTTTTGCATTATATAACTTAATGGGTTCAAGTTGTTTATCTTGTAAAGGTCAGAGGGTTCTTTGGCACAGAAGCTCTTGCCCTGTGGGTTTGAAATATGTTGGACCTGAAAGCCCCTCATCTTAGACCTTTGAGCTCTATTATCATAAAATTAAGTACTGAGACAGGAACCTGAGAGTCCCTTGCTGTTAATGTTACTTCATGTTAGCACAGGGTTTTGTAGAGCTACCCCTCTACAAGAGGAAGAAAACTATCTAAAATAGTGGGGGTTTTAATAGGAAAGGCAGTATGAAATTAATGAACATGTGTCATTCTGAAAAGAGATATTTTACTCATGCTTATCAGCTGTGCTGTGCATTAAAAGGTTTGGGATTTAGTTGGGGTTTTATTTGAGGGCGACTTTTGTAAGCATCTAGGTATGAGAAAAGAAGCAGAAGAAGCAAGAAAGCTCTGTAGCTGCTTGAAGGAGCACAGCTGCCTGGTGATCTCCAGTTGCCCAGAGGTGTCCAAAGATCCAGGAGATCAGCGAGCAGGTGCTTGAGTTGAAGAGCCAGAGCAGAGCCAAGCTTCCAGTACAAGGGATCCAAGCACTGAAGCAAAACTGTGTGTGACTGACTGGTCTGCTGTAATTTCCCCTCTCCTCCCACTCTGGGGACACACCACACAAAACTTCTCAGACTTGGAGGATTCTTCCTCTGGGTTATAAGGAATCCAGAATTCAGGGACAAGAAGCTTTCAGAGATGTTACTTTGGAAAGTTCTTTTGACTCTAAAACGTGATGTTCTTACAGGTTATTTTTTGCTGCCATTTGTGCATAACAAGGGAAAAAACTACAGAACCGAATGACTTTATTTGAATTATATTGTTCTGTTAGAATAAAGAGGTGGCTACCACAAATATGTGCCTGCCAGATAAGAATCAGGAGTTGTTTTTTTAAGAAATACTTTGTTAGATCCTCCTGTCAACCTTTAAAACTGTGCAAACATCCAGTATAGCATGTGTGCATAAAACATCTTTAATGGAGTAATAATCTCTAGTTAATAATTAAATCTCTAGTAGCTTTTGTAATTTGTGGATGCTACAACATTTAATCTCTTTATGTGAGACTTCTTAAAGAGGAATATTCAGCATTTGAGTTTCATGAAGGGAATCCTGGCCTTACATAAATGCTCATTTAATGCAGCACAGGTTTAACTTGTTATTAGTGTGAAGGAGAAAAGCTGATGTCTCAGACTGCAGCTGATGCTGGATTTGCAGGTACAGGTAAATTTGTTGGGCTGTTGCTTGTCAAACATGCTCAGAGACACATTAATGAGAGTCACAAGTGCTGCATTGTGTCAGTTTTCAGTCAGTACAATGCTTGTCACACTAATGTATGCACTGGATTAATGGAAGTATGGTTATGCACTGTCAGTGTGCTAAAATAAATAGCAAACCTCTATTTTAAAGGATGCTGAACTTGTAAATTGGTCTGTAGGAATGGGATATCTCTTTAAAGATTGTGCTCTTATCATTTCTCCTTCTGTGTAAGGAGTCACTGAATCTTGTCCCAAGATTTGACAAATAATTAATAAAGTTTTGAAGAAAGTTCTAAGAACAAAATGGAGTGCTGCCATCTAGCTCTTCCATATGTGCAGTTATGTGCTGTAAACTGATGTCTTTCCCAAAGTAATGTTAGCCTACCTCTTTGAAATGGAAAGCCTATGGAAAGAGGATTGTGTAGATTAATGCCATGGGTTTGGGATGTCTTCTCTGAAAACACCTGGTTTTGATTTTTCAAATAGGCTGTCAGTGGGAGATCCATGTCCAGTTTCAGAGGTAGAACCAACATTGCAGTACTTGGTTTTTCCTGTATTGTCCTGTTAAAAACAACCAACCAAACAAAACCACAAAAAACAAAATAAACAAACAAAAGACAAAAAACAAAAACCCAACTCCTTCCCACCAACTAACTAAAAAAAACCAAAAAAACCCAAAAAATCCCCAAACCCTCAAAAGCCCCTAAACCTGAAGTGTTCAGCCCTTGGCAAGTTGCTGCCATTTTACCCAAATGTCCCAGGCATTGTGTGTTTGCCAGCAGTGGCAGCGTTCCCTCGGCTCATCTGCACTGTCAGCACTCTCAGAAAATACAGCCCAAGGCCTCTTCCCTTTTCAATCTTTGGCAATTCCACATCTGCTGGTAGAAGGGGAGATGTGTGAAAGTTCAGGATATCACGGTCCAGCAGGTCATTGCACTGCTGGTTACTTTGGTGTTTTAGCCTCAAGTAACTTTTCCCCAATTGCACAGCAAAATTTGGAGTATTTATCTAAAAATCTGCCTGCACCATCCAGTCCTTTCAATAAAGAAAGTTAAAAAAAAAAAAAATCAGTAAGTTCAGTCCTTATATGGATGGAGGGGAGAACTAATAGGAAGAACAAATAGAATTAGTAGAAGTAAAAAAGAAAATTATAGAATCCTGCATCTTTAAATGCCCTTTTTACTAGATAATAATCTCTTTTATTTTAGCTCCATAAGTATGAAATAGATCAATAAAAGGCTAAAGAGCAAATTAAGATCTTTGAAAAAAGAACACTGATTATTTTTAATTCTTCTACATCTGCTAGGAGGCTTTTATATTTTAGTATTTTAGACTGTTTCTTGAATGTGTTAAACACTTGAATCAAGACACTAATTTAAAGATAAAAATTTTTTAAATTATTTTCTATTATATGTATTTTAAAACCCCCATATAGACTTTTGTGTCTGAAGATGTATATGTTGAAGCAGAATTTTAGAAAGTAAAGAATTAATTTGAAACAGTTGAGAATGGTATGGAAAATTAAAACATTAAGTGGCAGATATACTATGGAAAATGTATTTTTTTTTTTTTTGCTTTAGCGGGACGAATGTTGCAGGTCCTGTGGTTGTAATAAGTAGATAAGCAGCCCTCTGAAATTAAACGTCATGAGATTAAGGAAAAAAATTGTTTATGTTCAGTGCTAAACATTGTGTTCTGCAGTTCTTAAGCAGTGTTTTCTGCCGTAATCTTTATGAACAGGCAAGTGCTTTTCTCTCCTCTGACATGGTATTTCATGCCAAGATCTTTTTGATCAAAACCAGTAGGGGATTAATTAATTATAAATCAGCAGCCCAGATTCTTTAACATTTTTGTTAAAGATTATCCTATTATTTTAGTTTTGAGACACTGAGTGTTCAGCTACTAGCTTAGAAAGTTAGTTGTCTTTTCCATGATAGCATTAATCTTATGTATGAATTCCCACAAGAGTTTGGAAGTCAAATTACAGTTGTAAAGAGAAGTAGAAATACTGCAGAGAGTTTTGCAGGACCGTGTATTCCTTTATTAAAACTGAATTCTTTTACCAGCTTGGCTTAA